CATGTCTCCAGGGCTACAAACCAACACCAGGGCACACCCTTACCTCCAGCACATGTTTTGCACCACTAAAACCTGTTGTCACAAAAATATCCCCCTTTCAACTGTGGGAACAGGTTCACTTGTCCTAAGCACAAGCCATAGGTAGGGCCCTGCTGACAGTATGGATACTGTACAGGCACAAGGAAAACCAACAGCAAACCCACGTGTTTAAGGTCAGCCTTGATGTTTTGAGCTGAGACTCACAATCTGCATCCAAACAGTGGCATTGCCCAGGAAATACCTTGGTGACAACTTTGGTGCCACCTTATTTAAACCTTAATTTAAAACGCTAACTTAATAATGAGTGGAACAAAACTGTGTAAAAACATTTCCCACTCTAATCCTGGTTTGATCCCCCCAGTATGGCCTTCTTTTGTAATTACATCCCTTTGTGATCTCACTCTAATGCCTTGTATTGTGACCCATAAAATAATCAGCCCCCTTTGTCTCTCCCTAATCCTTTTAGACTTCCTTCTTGTCTCTACACTCTTATAAATGCTGCCATTATTTGGGCTCAGCAGCTCTTCCCACCACCCCAGAGCCTGGAAAGGGGGCTGCAGGTTAAACCCTGAATATATTCTGTGCAGAGGAGCTGAAACGATGGGAAGATCTTTGCTGCTTTAAAAACCCCACAATTCCCAACCTCCTCCCCTAGCCACATAGCTTGGCAGGGAAGCCAAACTGCAAGCTTGCATATGCACCAGCCCTCCCCCCTTTTATGTTTTGCTGATGACCTGAAGACCCTTGGCCTGGAGGTCACACGGTCAGCGTGTTTGCAGGGACAGCACACTTGTCCCCAGGCTGGGTGAGAGGAGCTGCTGCTGCCGCTGCCTGCAGGGATCAATGCAGAGAAGAGTCACAACATCTGCCTTGCCCAGGCTATCAATCCTGCCCTCCTGCCGGCAGGGTAAGTGCTGTGGACAGCCAGGCACAGTGGGATGGAGGAGCAGGATTTGGGGCAGGACGCAGAAGGGAAGGGGGTCAGGGAGCAGAGAAGGGCACAGGGATGTGTGCTGCTGTGCTTGGCTACAAACCAGTCCCTCCACAGCAAGACATGATGAAAAAGTGTCTTTACAAGCTCAGATCTCTCCAGTGCTATTATCAGGTCCTCCAGGACTTCAAATATTGGGCAGGTCCATATCACCAAACTTCAAGAAACCTCTTTGGCTCTAAATTGCACCATTGACTTACTCCCCCTCTTTCCTTTTTTTTTTTTTTTTTTTTTAAAGCATCAGATCAAACAGGGAAAATTGCTACTCTCAGGCTGGATACGTGCAGAGCCTGATCCGATACCCAGTTTGATGGTGATTTCCAATTAGTGGTAACTGCTTGTTATTGAGTGATATAATCAATGGGTCTTACTCCACCGGCTGGGCTGTGATTTATGATGATGTGGAGCCAGGTCCATCAAATTACAACATCGGCAAAAAGGGCTGGAAATGCCATGAGACAACATGATCAGAGTCAAGTGAGGCCAAGTGAAGCAAAGGGTGCTGATGAGAAGAAAGGTGGCAGTGTTTTGGGGAGCTCATTTTCCAGAGGAGTGGGCTCTGGCCATTAGTATTGCTCAGGGGTATCTTCATCCACAGAGAGCAAAGGCATGCTCAGCTTCTGGCGTGCACAAGGGAAATCCAGCTCCTCAGAGAGACCCACAAAGACACAGCCAAGCAGTGCCTCCAGAGAACACTCTGCCTACCAAACTGATTTTAATTAAGACAGCTCGGAGTCATGCAAAATTATGAAACTGTCATTAGGAGACAGAAAAGATCTGCATTCAATAACCTGATCAGATTATAAAAACATGTTGCATTCCACAACCTTTTAAACCAACACACCAGGGTTTGAACAGACGCCGAAACAGCAACTGAAAAAATTCCAACCGGGGTGTTAGGCAAAGGGTGGAAATGCCGAGGGCCTCCACTCAGTCATGCATAGGCTTCTTGCACACTTGTCCCTGCTCAAAAGAAGGTTACACTACAAAAGTATTACCAATGTGTTCAGCACCTGACCTGCCAATCCACAAACCAGCCAAGGTCCATTTCCCACCGGTGAGTATCTTCTGTTAATAATGACAACATACAGAAAAGTGACTTATGACCATAAGCTGAGACAGGGGAGATTCAGATTAGGTATCAGGAAACAGTTTTTCACTGTTAGGGTGTTCAGGTACTGGACTATTGCCCAGGGAGGTGGTGGAGTCACCATCCCCTAGAAGTTTTTAAGAAGCATCTGGATCTGATGCTGGAGGATATGGTTTAGGGGTTACAGCAGTGACAGGTTAGTGGTTGGACTCGATGACCTTAGAGATCTCTTCCAACCTTGATAATTCTATGATTCTAAATACCCCTGAATTTTAATTACATAAATTTAATGAGTCAATTTTTAGGAGGAAGGTTTTAAGGAGAACCCACGTGGGGAAACTGCCGGCACCTTGAGCGCATCAGGGCCGCACGCGCAGCGGTTGAGAGCAGCATATTCTTCCAGTTAAATTTTACTCAATGCCAAGTGTTGAAGTAAATTTGAAACATAAAAATATGATATCCAGCCCACATTTCCTGAATGCAAATATGTACATTCCTCCGAGCCAAGAAGATTATATTCCAAGCAATAATACAAAGCCAGGGTCTGTAACGGTGATATGAGACTAACAGCCTGCCTTTGAAGACAGCGAAAAGTGCAACAGAGCTCTCGAGGGGCTCCGCTCTGTCAGATCTCTTTTATTCCTCAGTAGCATGGCCTTGATCAACTTTCAAGATTTTTGTTTGTGAAAGGTTTTTATTTCTCCTTTGCTTTTGTGTTCAGATGTCAGGCTCAGAGGGAAGAAGAGATCAGCGCTGGGATGAGGTTTTACCCACCGGCAGTATTTACTCTGCTCCGCAAAGGTCTGCTTAGCGCTTGGGTTTTTTTCCCTTCCAGGCAGTCAGCACCCATTCCTGCCATGCAACAGTCCCCTCGTCTCTAAAACGGGGATAATTACTCTTCTCCTTTGACTTGCTTACTGGGACTTGGGGCAAGGAAAATCACTATCACTTGTGTATTATCACCCTGAGACACTGGGGCCCAGGGTACAACTGTGATTCATTCTTAGGAGATTTCATATCTACGATTAAGCTGAGTCCTAAGTGCAAGTGTGTGTTCTTGCAGCTCAGGCACAGCAGGGGAGCTCGCCCAGAGCAGCAGGTTACATTTGCCCACAACATCCTGTTTTATTCCCATTATCCACAGGCACCTGTGGCATCAAGGCCAGGGGCCCCCGGCTTTGTGTTGGCTTCACCCAGACGACTTCTCAGGGCTGGCAAGAAACCAAGCCTGAAGCCAGAATAGAGTCCAGAGCATTTTCAACACGATCCCTTTTCCATTTTGATTCATGTGAAACTAGGGCTACAAAAGGAAACGCTATTCAGGGACACACAGCACATCACATACATATTGATGCAGAAGCTGAGATAACAGTGTTTATTGACAATCCATAATCCCAAAGGTAATTCCTCTGGCTCTCATGTCTCCTGTTTACAGGTCCAAGAAGTTTGACATTGTGCTCGTGCATCAGTCAGCTTCCAGCTCATAAATGCCAGAGCTGTTCACCAAAAGCGCTCCAAGGTTTAGCACCACAAGACTGACAAGTTTGAGATCCAGCTGCTAATCTGGCGTGGACCCAAAGCCCTTGGCTCCTGGACAATGTCACTTCTTACACTCCTGAAAAGCTAGGTTTGCAGATGGCCACTTGATGCACTCAGGAATTGTTATACACAAGGACTGGAGTGTTCCCTTGGTGGGCTGCCAGTGGCACCGGCGCTGCGGGGAGCGGGCGGCAGCGCTCCGAAAGACCCCCCAGCTCGGGGAGTGCAGATGGGGGACCTCAGTCCCAGACTCTTCCAGCAGGAAAACTCTAGTGTTCCTGCTTTGCACTGAAAAGTCATGGTTCAATTTGCAAACACAACAGAAGCAGTAGTAAGTGGCTTGCACAGAAAGAAGAACAGTAGCCATCTCCCAGACATGTTGGAGAACCCTTCAGGAAAACTTACTTTAATCAGTGTTGGACCAGGTCTCAGGTCTGTACCAGACACCTGTCCTCACACATAGAGAAATTACACCCAGCAGTGACTTCTGATGGAATGTAAAAAGGACCAGCGGCTGTGACCCCAGAGCCTACAGACTGTGGGAGAAACTGATGACCAACACAACGGGGAGAGAAACTCCCATGATCCACCAGCTCTGCCATCAGTCCTAGGACAAACACAAACCAGCAGACAGAGTTGGTAGGGGAGAATCCACCAAGCTGCATGACAGGAGACTCAACAGGACCAACAGCTCTGGCCAGGGCAATCAAGTGGCTAAGCCAGGTAGTGTACAGGGCTGGAGTCACAGGCTGCCCTGGAATTCTTCCTCCCCCACCTTTAAATTTCATCCCTCGCTGACATTTTCATCTCTCTCCTCCTCTGGGCTCCCCCACCAGACTATCTGTCTGGTGTTGTTAGCCTTGCCCCCAAAGGCACTGCCATGTCGGGTAGTAAATAAGACCTTGCTGCCTCCACACTGCCTGCCTTAAATAACAAAATGAAAGACACCACGACCTTCAGAAGGTCTTTGCCTATGGTTTGGGAAGCACTGCCTGCCAAGCAGAGCTCAGCTGTGCTGCACAGCAAAGGGGCTTCCAAACTCACCACAGGAGATACATGAACCACAGACTACTTCACTGCATGGTTTTAATGTAACTTATCGCTCCAACACAGGGAATTTACTGCTAGAAGGTGGTTTTTAGCTTTCTACCCAAGAAAGCTGATTAGCTCTTCTTTCACACTTGGACAGCTACAAAGATTAGATGCCAGACAGATTCCGACATCAGCTCCAGGTTCTTTTCCACTTCCCTCTTTTCAATCCTCCCTCCCTGAACACCCAGCACCCACCACGCTGCCCTCCCACTTTCCAACTGCCCCTTGTGGGACGGTGCCCATACTTACTCGCTGCCTGAATCTTTGCCTTCCGGCTCACCACCAGCCCGTAGTGGTTTTGCGCCATGCAGTCGTACTCGCCTTCATCCGAGGACCCATCTCCCCGCACCCTCTGGAAGCGGGAGACGTAGAGTGACCCGTTGGCTAACATAAAGGCATTCTCACTGTCCACGATCATCGCGCCATTCTTCCGCCACGTGATGGTGATGGGCTGGATGCCCTCCACCTGGCAGTAGAGGATCAAGGGCTGCTCCTGCACAGCTATGTCATCGCTAGGCTCCACAACGAATGCCAGCTCGGAGGAACGGCCAAAATCTAAAGTGAAGAGAGAAGGACAGAGTCAGCAGAGTGTGCACAAGAAGCAGCAAGAGCTAACTCTACAGTAGCAAACCGGGGGTGATGGAAACATTTCGGATGGGCAACATGGAAACATTTCGGATGGGCTACAGGGTGCAAGTGTTTCAGAGAAACATGAAACCCTTGGGTATGCTCTGCCTCCTAAGGCTTTGCTCTCAAAATCTTGGGGTGCAATTTCCAAAGGCACAGGCACAGTCCTTCAAGGCTGTCTTTGGAGGCCCAGAGAAGGGTCCAGGCAGGCACACCCCTCCCAGCTCCACTGCACACCCCGCTGAAGATTGCCTCTTCACCTCCCTTCGCAGGCGAGCAGCACTAGGCAATCAAAACTTGCACAAGTACAGGGTGTCGGCCATTGGCAGCCCAGGAGCAGAAGTTTACACCAGCTCTGTAAATCCACTCCTCTCCCCACACAAGCAGGCAGAAAGGGGCTGCGCTGAGCTCAGCCCCGTTGGCAGCACAGCCGGCGGGGGTGAAGGGGGGATCGGCAGCTCCCGATTCAGACCATATTGCCACCGGCATCTTCGCGACACTTCTCCCGCTTGGCAGAGCAGGAGGCTGTTTGCCTCTCGCACGCAACACCGTGCCCTTCTGTCGCTTTGGTCTCTCTCACGCTGTAACAGCCAAAGGATGGTGCTATTCAGCCCTTAATGAAGAGCAAGTTAAGCACCGAAATACAAATGCACAATGTTCCGGCTCAGCCACACAAAAGGTTTCTTGCAAAGCAATTACGCTAAACGATGTCCGCGTGAGATAAGTCATTGCAGAATTTGTAACTGACAATAGGCAAACCCTCACTCCCCATCACACGGATACATCCTAATTTACTTCTTCTGCCAAGGGAACGTTTAAACGCTGTGTCTTTGGCATGTTATGCTTCACTTGGCCCCGCACACCTTTGGAGGGTATAATTTGCCCTATAGTCATGATCAGACGCTACAGAAGATGACAGAAATAGAGCTGTTGCTTAAAGATTGGCCCAAAATATAGGCTGACATGAAAGACAAAAAGCAACCCCGAAACACGAGTCACATAGACATCTGAAGGGTGTAAATGTGGGGATGGAGGCAAATTGCTTTTGAAGAATAGCAATGGTAAAGGAATTTCAGCAGAATAAGAAAATTATGATTTCATCCAAATAAGGACAAAGCCTTTGTAACAGTTTACTTGTGCCCCTCAATGGGTGGTTTCCCAACCTGTGATACAGCTTCTCCCCTCTTTCGAGGGCTCGGGGGACCAACTCCACAGCTCCTTGCAGAACTGGGACAAACAGAGGCAATATCTCTTGGCAAACACCAGCCACGGAACAGTCTTTGTAAAGCCTGTCCCTCATACAGACCCCACCAAGCACAGGATCCCCCACACTAGGCTCAAAACCAGGGTGGAGGGCAGACTGTAAATGCATGGTAAGAATAACAGAGATGAGACAAGGCAGTTACATTAAAGAAAGAGAAGGGGGAAAAAAAGTCTGTCTTTTCTGCTCTGCAAACCCAGTGAGATTTTTTTCTTTCTTTCTGTAAATCCCCATTGCTTTCTACAGCAACTTAAATTGGATTACGGGGGATAAACATTGAGTGCAACCTGAGCCGAGGCAGATGGACCGAGCAGACAAAGGCAGCAGGGATAGTGCAGGGCAGGCCAAAGGTACTGCCAACAAGGTATGAGTGTGTGCAGGGAATGGACAAACCCTACTTAGTGACAGACACCTAAAACACACACTTGATTAACCCATTAAGTCTTAAAATGTCAGGCTAGCTCCAGCCATCTCGGTGATCTATCGCTCACTGTGACTTCTTTTTTAGGAGATAGCCCTGGGGTCCTCTCAGCAAGTCAGACTGCAGCCAGCACAAACCCATCAATTACTTTTTTTTGGTGAAAATTAAGGAATTAGATGAATGCTCTGCATTTTTCTGCAAAGTGGCCAGAGTCTCGACACCACACTGGGGCCCCATTCCCTGTGAGGGTGCTCTGGGGAGTTAAGTTGGCTAAGGACCTGCATGTCCTGGCACTGAACTGAGGAGGACTCCAGAAAGATTGAAGATTTCAGCATTTAGCAGAATAGGCAATCAGAAACATCCCTAATGAAATAAATGTCCTATCTTTCCCCAGCTCCCCTGTACTCTTAGATAAAACAGCTTATTATTATATGTACAATAAAAGGAAGAATCAACATAATTACATGCCCTTCCCACAATTGCTGTCATTATAACAACCATCATTAAGGCCTGTGATTGGAGATAATCATGTTTACCTCCATAAACATTCGGTCTGCATCCCTCACTCCAGGCTGCTAGAGCTGCAGGAGTGATGACACTCCTAATTAGGACTGGTGTCCTCAGACACATTCCAGAGTGGGGATGGACACTGGCTGGTCCTGGGGTCACTTCAGACTGTGCCTTGAGGTGTGACCCTGTCCAACTGGTTTGTAACCTGTAGACACCTTGCAGTGTCCAGAAGCACTCAAATTCCACCTCAACTTATGCTTTTCTCATGGGATGCTCTTCTGACTTTGAAAAAATCCCTCTGCCTCTTTCCCGGGGCTTCAGGGACAGCTGAACCACTAACCAGACACATGGGAAGATGCAAGCCCATCCCATCTAGGGATTTGGGAGAAGCCAAGCTCCCTTTCACCTGTCTTGAAGGCAGACTCTGAACACACAGCCCTGCCTCCTTGGGATGCTCAGGATGAGAGGCAAAAGGGGAAAAGACATTCCCAGAGGAATCTCCATGGTGGGACAAAAGGGTTCCTGGTGTTCACTCTAGAGGTCAGCTCAGATGGGTGAGAGGGAGAACACATACAGAACAGGGAGGCAACGGCGGGAGAGAGGGACCCGACTCAGTCAGCATAAATAACTGACTGTAGTTAGCAGTGCAGTACAGAAACGATGCTGCAAAGTTGGAAGCAAACGACACTCCAAAGGCACATGGAAACAGTAAAAGTGATTGCAAGAGACAGCAAGGAAATCGCTGAGGCTGTGCACATTCACTCAGGGGCTCTGAAAGCCTCATCCCTCTCCTACAGGCTGGCTGCAAACCCAAACCCGGCTCATCCCACACAACAGCCCAGGTACCTCCCAAAACGGCCTGCGAGGCAGTGTGGCTCACAGCCACTCCCTGCTCAAGGCAGAAACTGTACAACTCTGCTCGTGGCAGCTCGAGTTTGTCGTTAGAGCAGGGTGTCAGCAGGCAGCTGAACAGCCTGCTTGTCTCCACGCTGGCAGCGCGCGAGGGAAAACCGCTTTGCTTTCTCCAAAGGGATGGAGGGAGGAAGTGCTATTAGCTCTGACATAAAGGCCACAAGAAAATTACTGGAATCTTCATTCTGCAAGTCTCCTTTTGAGAAACATTTACCATCTCCCTGAGCAATACAAGATGTGACTGTATGTGCAAATATTTAACAAAAACTGCTTCCCCTATTGATCAAGCAGACAGGCATGCTCAGAGAAACCAATTAGCACTTGTGCTTTTGAACCAAGAGATTTATTTAGTGCTGAGAGAAAGAACTTCGAATTAATGGGAAGCTTAAAAGACACTTTGAAGTACATTTAAAAAAAAGATAAGTTTAATTATTTTTTACTTGACACTGTGATTCACATTCAAAGCTTCAAAAGAACTTGTTCATACCCCAGCATTGTCCTTTTCCATTTGGGAAACAAGATTTTGGCTTTGCCTCCTGTGCTTCTGAAAAACACAGCGGCTAATCTCACCGCTCTAATTAGCGGTGACATCCATGGCAAAGGACCTCAGTCACATCCTGGCTCATCCTCCTGGACCCCATCCAGACCCACAGCCAGCAGGGCCATCCCTGCCCCGGGAGCACACGGTCCCAACAGATGAAGCCCTTATTATTACTCCTGTTCTAGACAGGGAACATTAATCACAGAGCGATGAAATGAGCTGCCAAGGGCCCAGGCTGAGCTCGTGGCAAGGAGAGATATTGCGGGAGCAGTTGAGTCCACCCTGCTCTTCCTGCAACAACATCATCAGGAGCACCAGCAAGAAAACTGAGGCAGCTCCTCTCTCATCACACCAACAGCACAACATATAACCTGCAAACAGCCTTACATGTGCAGAAATTTGCCCTCTCCTGATTTACTGTGTTTATTCCCAGCATAACACAGCATAAATCAGCAGCACTACCACCACCAAGGATAACCACTCTGGTCCTGCTTCAATAAACTTAAAACAAGATGCCCAGGACCAGAGGTTTTTATAGTGGGATGCAGGTGAGTATTAGGACCAAAAACCTGGGTGCAGGTTGGGCCACCTCTATAAAAAATGGCTGTTGTTTTTGCAGTGGTGGGTTGTTTTTTATTCAAATCCTTCTGCAAATGGGAGGATATGGAAGGAAGAGATATATGGGCCTGAAAGATGTCCTTCAACAGATTATAACAAGGTTCAGGCTGATGAAATTGGCAGCCTAAAAATCCAGCTGGTGCTCTCTTAAATCTCCTTGAGGCTGACTCAGACCCTAAGGAGAAAAGCACTACACTGCAGTAAAGTGCAAATTGGCTCTTTAGGGCATCCAGAAAATTTACATTTAAAGAAGAGGAGAATAGGCTGTAACAGGCCCCACATCTTGCTGGCAGTAAAGTATACTAGCTCAGAATTTTTTATTCCTTTTCCTTTCGGACAAGAGGTTATATAAAGCGATTTTTCCATCAGAGAGCATAAAGCACATCCACTCGTTAAGAGATTGCAGGAGGTCTCTGCTGGGGATAACATGACCTCTCAGCCACCTGATGCAGAGCCCAGAAACACCCAGCATCACTGCCCACAGTGGGGACACAGATTTTAGCTGAGAAGGCAAACACAGCCCAGTGAGCCAGAGAAGCTGCCCCAAATCATTTTCAGATGTTTGAGACCAGACTGGGCGAATCCCAGGAGATTGTGGAAGCTGGAAGCATTCACAGCACAAAGAGCCTTTCCAGGACCAGCTCTGAGCCCTCATGGGCTCCCCCATGTCTAACGAAGGCAAGACAAAACCTGTTGGTATAGCTGGAAAGGGCAAAGACCTTTCCTGAGCTAATTGCCCACAGTAGCTCCATCCACAGCGAGGCATCCCGAGAGCATGGCAGCAAGCCGAGGGTAGGATGCTCTGTTATTTGCATTCCCCACGTGTTTCACTGCCCTGACCAGATCACAGCCTCACCACAGAGGGCATCAGCGACACAAAAACGGAGCACAAAACCACCATGCACTAGAGGACAGCAAAAGCAGCAGCCAAGACGGGAAACACTGTGCCAGAGCCAAAATCCCCATAGGCTTCAGCCCTCGAGGCTGCTCTAATGCAGAATGGGAGAATGGCTGGTTTCAGTCCCTGACCCTGCAGGAAAGCATCAGGGAGGTGGCTGTCCCCACAGTCAGTGCTTTGCACAGACCCAGCAGGGAATGGACTGGCCACGCAGGAGGTGACAGTGCCCACGGATCAGAGACACAGTGGCTGGGACGAGCGCAATGGCACGAGGCTGCCAAGAGAGCCACAGGGACCCTGGCACCACAGTGCCAAACTCCACCAGCCA